GACATCTCTGTGAGTGTTTTGTTCAGCTTGTGAAGTGCTCTTTGCTCAATCCTCAGCACCACAAATACCAAACCAAACATCCTTGTGCATGACATTATCAACACAAACATTATCCTTAAAGGTGTGTTTAAGGCCCATAGATCTCTGTACCAAGTAGTCTACAAGCCTGTTCAACAACCCAAACACTTTCCTCTATTTAAGCCCTTAGAACTAAGCCCTTGCTTGTACTCACTTGTTTGCCATTATTCCTTAAGGGAAAATTGTCTCTGAGTATCAAGAATTAATATGCATGAAGAACTTAAGAACAGTTGACCTATATGAACACTTAATAAATATTAAGAACTACTTGTAAAGGAGAGTCTGCCAATATCTCCACTAAAAAAAAGTGAAAAGATCTATTTTTATTTATGTACATTGTGTCTGTGTATGCATAACCACACATGCATGTGAGCGCCTATGGAGGTCACAAGAGGGGAATCGGATCTCCTGAAGCTGGAGTTACAGGGGGTTGTGACCTGTCCAGTGTGGTTACTGGGAACTGAATTTGGGTCCTCTGGTAGAAATGGAACGACTCTAAACCAGTGAGCCATCTCCCAGTATCTCCACCCTTTTTCTTTCTTTTTTTTTTTGTTTTTGTTTTTTTTTTTTGGAAGACAGGTTTTTCTGTGTAGCTCTGGTTGTCTTGGAACTTGTCTGTAGACCAGGCTGGCCTCAAACCCAGAGATTAGACTGCCTCTGCCTAATTAAAGGTGTGCACCACCACTCAACCTATCTCCATTCTTATACACCAGGGATTCAAAGTACAAAAAGGTGAGGTCATACCCCAGGTCATACAAATAACAGACTGCTTCCTGTCAATCTGTATCAAACTTCCCCACCTCCAATCCAGACAACTGCTGATCTAGTCTAAAACAAGTTCTCCAAGGCGTATCTAGGCATCATAAACAAAACTCAGATGCTGTTTGTTCTTCTCCCTCTCATCCTTTCATGTGTACATTGCTTCCTAGAGACTGGCTTCTAGGACAGTCTAAATGCAGTAGCAGACATAGATTCTAACCATCTTTCATTAGTCAGCTATTAAAGGGATCTGACTTTAAAAGTGGGAGACCATGTTTGGCTGCCCAATGAAATTGTTTTGCATTGGAAATGTTTTAATTTTATTACATTTATTTATTTGTGTGTGTGTGTGTCAGAGAGAAAGAGGAAGAGAGAGAGAGAAAGAGAGAGAGAGAGAGAGAGAGAGAGAGAGAGCATCAGCTGGTGTTCAGAGGACAACCTGAAGCAATAGTTTCTCTTCTACCATGTGGGTCTGGGGATTGAAAGCAGGTCTTGGTTTTAAGTGCCTTTACCTGCTGAGCCATCTTGCTCACCCAGAAATTTTTTTAAAATTCAAAGCATTGTAGGCGGTGGTGGCACACACCTTTAATCCGAGCACTTGGGAGGCACAGATACGTAGATCTCAAAGTTCAATGCTAGCCTGGTCTACAGAGTGAGTTCCAGGAAACCTAGGGCTACATAGAGAAATCCTGTCTCCAAAAACCAAACCAAACAAACAAGCAAATAAATAAATGATGCCATTTTATTTTTGGAACAACATAATGAGATTGTTATTTTAAATTGAGTTTATATTGACATTTTCTTAGTTTAATTTCTAATATAATTAATACTGACAGACTTAGACAGTAAAACCAAAGCTCTTTGAAGTCATTCTTAACCTTTGGAGAGTAAAAGACTCCAATGTTGAACTAGGGATGGCTCCACTTTCACCATCTGATTCTACAGTTTCTGAGAACACGGCACAGACTTGAGCATCACCTTAGGATGATGGAACTGTGATCTGAATCTGCACTTCTCTAGCATCACACAAAGCAGACTTATACAAACATCATATCACCTAGAACCTTAACTACTAAAACAGGAAAACTGGCTCCTAACTTTTGTCTTGAAAGCAACTTTACAATATAATTTTTTTTTCTGACTCTAGGGAATCAATGCACAGTTCTAAGAATCTATTCATTAAATAAAATAAAAAACTTTGTTACCTTTTACCAAATATCGAGACTTTTCTTTCAGATGCAGGTTTGCTTGTGCTTGGCTTTCCAAAGGTTGTTCTCCCTTTGCTTCAAAGGAAAACAGAAAAAAATTCTTTAAAGCAAATACAAAAACACCAGTTCAAGTAATTTTGGAAACATGTTAACTTCTTTCCCCCACCAATAACAAATTTTCAAGATCACAGAAGTGTTTGGTAGTTGTTTTCATTGGAAGGAGCAAAAAAAAACAGTAAAATTGTAAAATGTTAAAAGTTTTAATTTATGTCTTTTTAATTTTAAAATTTGTTTATATATGGATAAGAATTTTAAGGAAAATATAAAAATGATTATAGGTTGACAAATATGTTTGAATTCCTTTCTTCAGAATGGCTGATTAAGTAGCTTATATGTAGACGTTATGCTAGTATAGTACACAGTAGGTTAGAAATAGCCTTCTATTAACTAGAAGAGCAACACTCTGAGTGAAAAACTAATGTTTCTGATAACAATTTCTTTGGTTGGTAGCTTTGTGAACTATGTCTTGCTCTGTAGGCTGGGGAACTACTTTATGGTCCACAGTGGCCTTGAACTCACATTCAGTCTTCTTCCTGGAGTCTTTTTAATACCAGGATTATAGGTGTGTGTGACCACACACAGCAGTAAGAGCAAGTTCTTTTTCACACCCTAGTCCCTCCAAACTTGAAATAATTTTATAGCTTCCCATCACAACAAATGATATTGCTTTGATTTCATTACTACCTTTAGTAGTTGGAAACATCTTAGTAAATTAAGTTATACCACACTGCCTGCTTAAACAGTTAAATATAAAGGAGTATTAGAAGGGTGTCAACAATGCTTTTATAGCAAGGCTAGTAAACAATGAGACGAGCCAAACCACCTAGCCTCAGGTCCACTTTTATGGATTTCAATGACCCCAATCAGACACTGCTAGAGGAGACAAGATTAAGACATCACTAAGACTTTTGTACTAACCATTTCTTACATCGGCCTCACCCTAGACAGTAAGTATGCAGCTGAGACCCATAGTTGGAGGCACTTACGTTTGAGGGGTATATATGCCTGGTTTATCGATGTCCTGGGATCTCAGTTCCTGTATGGAGAGGCGGCCAGCACCACCGGTGGAAACGGAACTGCGCTTCATGCTTAGAACCTAATTCATGATTTCAATATCAGAAAAATGTTCCAATGCAAGGGGTTCATTAAGCAACAATTATCATTTTTATTCTGACGTAAAAGAGTAACTAAGTCTGTTCCTTTACGATAGCATTTTCCCTGTGTGCTGTATTTGTTTTTCATGTACACTTAAGTCCTCACTACAGATAACACCTATGCAACTTCAAGTATTCAATACACTCAAGCAAGGCAATGCAAAAACGAACATATATGATTACATCATCACAAGGCAATCCATGATTGCCAAATATCTTTTTTTTTCTTTTTGGATTTTCGAGACAGGGTTTTTCCGTAGCTTTTGGTTCCTGTTCTGGAACTAGCTCTTGTAGACCAGGCTGGCCTCGAACTCACAGAGATCTACCTGCCTCTGCCTCCCGAGTGCTGGGATTAAAGGCGTGCGCCACCACTGCCCGGCTGATTGCCAAATTTCTATGTGTTATCCCTGCTATCTCTTATGTCTATTTCAATGGTTACTCACAGGCTGCTTGACAAGAAATCTCAGGCTCCTTAACTTTCCTCAAAATGTTTCCTTTGGCTTCAAAAACAGGAATCATTCTGTTTTCCTAATGTCTACGTTTCTTGCTTTATGTTTAACCCCGTGTTTCTCAGTTAATATCTACTATTGTCTTTCTCGTTCTAATCTCCATTTCAGTAAACATAAGCAATCTGGTCCACAACACAACGTAGAAACTGCTTCCTTTCTCAAAACATTTTAATATCATAAGCATGCCAATGTCGGACCCTGTCTTCACCTCTACAGGGCTAGACGCTAGCCAGCCACTCAGCCTTTTCAGGTCTTGCCCTGGCTTCCTTCGAGGGTGAGACAGAACTCACTGTTGTTGTAATAATAATAATAATAGCGGCGAAAAGAAGTCACGCCATGCATAGGAGGTTTATTGGAAGACGAGAGAGAAGGGGCAGAGGAGGCAGAGACTAGTCCCTGGGGACAAGAGTGGCGGGAGAGAGACGGAGGTGGAGACTGGGAGAAGGGGGTGGGGGTAGGCCCACCTTTTACAAGGAAACATAGCAAATGTGCACAGGAGTGTTCTTGGTGGCTACAGGCGAGGATCTATCCTGTCAGGGCTCTAAGGGCAGGCCAATGCAGATGCCCAAATACTAACACCCACTTTATTGTTTGTTTGAGTTAGGGACTTTAGCACGCTTGGCTGTGCACTGAGCCACATCCCTCCTTGTTCAGCTGCTTACATTCCACTTAGATTTTATTCTCAAGACTTCAGTTTCCCAGACTTTTTCTCCTTACACGGCTTTTCAGCTGCTGCATTACCACGCGAACGCAGCGTTCCGACCTGCTCCTCCCGGCAGTCACGCCCCTCCCCCCCCCCCCCACGCCCCACACCTCGGTCAGCAATCCGCATCCTCTTTTCCCTCTACAGGCGCTGCACCCCCGACCCGCCCCACACCTCGGTCAGCAATCGGCTGCCCGCACAAACTTACTGATCCCTGAACACAGAGCCTGGCAGACGCCACCCCAGGTCTCCGACGCCGCAGAGCCTTTTAGCACGAACAGAGTTAACCCCATGATAGCAGTTACCTTTCTCTCTTCTTCTTGACGAGATATGTGGTTCTTGGCAAGACCCAGCGTCCAACTTGCAGTAAACAGCACAGCTGCGTACGAAAACAGGCGCCAATGCCAACTTAGAGCCGTTTGGATTTTAAAATCTCCGCCCGCGTGACGTCAGAACGCCTGCGGCGAGTACGCTGACGCGTTTCCTCCACGCCAGTCCCATTGGCCGGAAGTGCGTGTGTGTTGGTCGCTCGGCGGCGCACCAGGATCCGTGGCTTTTAGTAGCCGGTGTCTTCGTCCGGACAGGAGTCTGGCCCTATCCTCAAAACTGGCACCTAGGACGAAAGCTTCGTCGGCACGGAGCGGCCCAATCTCTCCTGGAGTCTCATTCCGTACAGCAACATGGCTGCGTCCATGGACTAGGGAAGCGAGGGTTTTCTTTGACTCTGTAAGGATGTCTGTCAGGACCTGGTTTAGATGAGTGCTGTTTCCAATGCGAGAGTCTGGGAGGTAGCGTGTCCCTTTCTGACTGTAGAAGATGCTGTTGAATGTGGCGGAGCTCTACTGACCCTTTGGTAGATCAGGAAGAGTTGGAAGGATAAGTAGCGGCAGGGTGCTCCAAGTGCTGTGGATTCTGCTCTCCCAGAGAGGAACTACAAGCAGGCATTGCCAATTCCCAGACAGTGGGAAGGCCTAGGGCGAATGCTCAGATTTCTGAATCTCGGAGCTGTTGTGCCTCTAGCTAGAATTGTAGTTTCGTTCCTAGCAGCCCTTTTGAGTTTCAATCTTTCCTAGCCAACACTGTGTCTCCTCAGCTCAAGTCACGGTGGACTGGGAAACCAAAATCACAGGTATCACCTGAATCCTCTCATGAGTGTGAGCAGATGTGTTACCAGCTGTTATGTTTCAGACACTATCAGCAGCAGTTCATGCGAATTATCTCATTTAGTTCTCCAAACTAATGACAGTAGGACATAAAAAAGACTTTGGTTGGGCATTATAGCGAACGCCTTTAATTCCCGCACTCGGGAGGCAGAGGCAAGGGGAATCTCTGATTTCCAGGCCAGCCTGGTTTATATAGTGAGTTCCGGGACAGCCAGAGCAACATAGTAGGACACTATCTCAAAAGAACCCAGCCAAACACAAAGATAACTTTTGAAGCTCAGTGAAATCAAGTAACTTAACCTGGAGTGGTTCACGACGGAGGCAAAGACGGGCAGATCCCTGTGCGTCTCTTGAAAATAAGGCCAGCCTGTTCTACATGCCATGTAAGACCCCGTCTTTAAAAACTAGTTCACGGTCAATTTTATAAGAAATTTGATTATAAACCTTATTATTATTAGCTGTGCTATTCACTTATTTCTTCTTCAGTGCCCTCTTAAAGTTTCCACTACATTATAATAAAATAAGTTATATCCAGAAATGTAAAACGTATTTTAAATGAGGATAAAGTAGTTCTGATGAACCTAGTCACTGGAGTGTGGCTCAAACAGATTGTCGTTATCCACCTTTAATCCTGAAGTTCTGACCTAACAAGCTAGTTAGTTTGCTTTAGACTTAGTTGTGAAGTTCTGTCTTAGCAGACTAGTTAGGTGTGCTCTTCCGGTGTACTGTTCATATTGCACTTTGTTTAGCTGGAGCAGTCTTTAGAAGTAATTACCATTCTTTGACTCGATGGGACGCTCATCTTTGAAGGATTTAGTGACTTGAATACTTGGATGATGTAAACTAGTGAGTGCCTCAATCCGAGGACCAAAACAGGACCATGGAGGGCAACGGAAGAAAGGAACCTGATTTTAAAAGTTTTTTCTTTGTTTTTGTTGTTATAGCACTGGCTGTCAAACCCAGCAGCCCCACACTGAACTTCGCTCCCAGACCTAGTTCTGGGTTTTTTAGGAGAATGTCTGTGGTTCACCATTTGCCACCTGGGTGGCTACTGGATCATCTTTCTTTCATTAACAAGGTCAACTATCAAATTCAGCAGCATCGAGAGCCTTCCTGCAGTAGAAACCATTCCACTTCTTCTGTCGACCTGGGTTCTCTTCAGATGGATGCCACATCTCCTTCTGGAGCTCCTACTACATGCTCTGCTCCTGACTCTACTGCTGTGCCAGCCAATGAAATCATCACCCAAAACTATGCTTTCCGACCTGAGCTATTTAATGTCACCAAACCTTACATAATTCACAAAGAATGCCAGCAAAGTGGCCAGAATGAGGATTTAGTGACTGGTGCTAAGCAAGATGTCTCCATTTCTGTTGGGAAGGTAGGAAGTGTTAAGCTTTATTTTTTTTTGCACGAAACAAAAATTTAGTTCCAGTATTTCAAATATCTTCGCATTTTCTAAGTATAAAGACTAATGTGAGAAGGTGTTAGCATACCCAAGAGCAATATATATGTCTATTTATTATTTATTTATTGTTGAGTCAGGGTCTTGTGGGCTGTCCTCCAACTCACTGTGGCTGAGGATAACAAATTTCTTATCATCCCGCCTCTATTTGCCAAGAGCTGGTGTATAAGCATTTGCTATCACCTGCCTTTAATTTTATTTCTTGCCATTCTAGAACAACACATTGCATGTTTCAAAAAGTAAGTCTAGGCCTGGAGTGATTTAGCTCAACATGGAGAGGGGCTTGCTGTAGGGTCTCATGACCTGAGTTTGGTCAGCAGGGCCCACTTGGGAGAAGGAGACCATTGACTCCCACAGATCATCCTCTAACTTTCACACGGGTGTCCTGGCTGTGCACCCTTCCCTCAATGTGAAAGAGTGAAAACGTAAGTAAATGTACAAAAAATGTAAACAATGGCCTCAGACGTAAATTGTCTATAAAAGAAACAAAACTGTTTGTGTACTATCGTGTTGGAACACGGGCCAAGGATGGAATGAAGTGAGAATTCTGAGTGCTTGTGAGAAAACACCCGCAGAACAAGATGTGAGCCTTGTTACCTCATTGTTGTTTATTCAAAAACACGGAATTGTCCTTGGAATGTGGTTTGGGCCCCTCTCAGATAGAGCAGATGGGAGTGAGTTTACTTCAGAGCATTCATTAAAACTATTGTTATTTGTTTATGTGTCTCTATGCCAGGGCTTGTCCACCTCCTTTGGCTTGTCCTTGTGATTGTATACTTACATCAGTTGATTCTTTGTAACCCTAGGGTATCAACTGTCTGATGCTCGGAATAAGCTGGATATTGCATGAGACTTTAGTCTGTCACTTCTCCAAAGTAACATGCCTTTTGACTTCAATTTTCAAGTCAAGGTATTTTCAAAATACCTATCTTGGATTAATTCAGCAGCATTTATATGCAAATATCTTTTAGCAGCTGTTGCTCCTTCCTCAGCATTCAAACAATTCAAAGAGAGCATAATGGCATACAGTATCAAGATTCTCTGTGTATTTTCCATCTTTATGTGGCTTTACTTTAATCTCTATTTCTTTTATTTTTTACTTTTAACTCTTGGCTTTTTGAGACAGGTTCTCTGTGTATCTTTGTCTTGGAACTCCCTCTGTAGACCAGGCTGTCCTTGAACTCACAGAAATGCACTTGCCACTGCCTCCCCAATGCTGGGATTAAAGGTGTCTGTTACAACACCTTGAACTCACAGAGATCTGTCTGTCTCTGCCTCCCAGGCACTGGGATTAAAGGCGTGTGCTACCACACCTTGAAGTCACTGAAGTCAATCTACTTCTACCCCTTGAAGTCACAGAGGTTAATCTACCTCTGCCTCCCAAGTGTTGAAATTAAAGGTGTGTACCACCACACCCAACTACTCTCTTTCTTTCTCCAAGTGTTGGGATTAAAGGTGTGTATCACTACACCCAACTACTCTCTTTCTTTTTATGTTTAAGGACTTTAACCTTTAGCCTGTATATATTTTTAACACACTATTATATATATATATAAACTATATATATTATAACACACTATAAAACACTATTAGAGGTTTTTTTCATCTTTAAATCTCTCTTTACTGTATATCTCTCTATTATTGACCACATGAGTCTTTATGGAGAGGATTAAAGCCGTGGCTTTGACGGCTGGATCCAGCCCATTTTTTAGCTTTCTGCGATTCCAGCCTCAAGGCGGAGGTACCAGCTGTAGCGTTTTGAAGTCCCTGCCAGCAAGCAAGCTGCAGCATTCTGCTCACAGACCACATTTAAATGTTTTGTATTCAGACCACTGCATGAAAGAGTCAGAGTTTGCCCTGGCAGGTCGACCCAGAAAGTCAGAATTTTATAACAGCGCAGCTTTTTTTCTGCTACGGCTGAAAACCGAAAAGCATGCGTTGAGCTTTTCATCGACACTATTTAAGTGTTTTGTGGCAGGACCTCTTAAAGGAGCTGCAAGGTTTTGCAGCTAAAGCTGAGTCAGGAAGCCTCTCTCAGATGAGACTGCTTTCTTGCCTCTAGCAAGCAGAGCAGATTGGGAAACTGCTGCCACCAAGACAACATGCTTTACTCTATTTTCCAAGCTCGCTCAGGCTTTCTGTGGGTGCAGTTATCCTCGTGGGTGCCATTCTGTAACATGAGGGCCTGCTCATTGGAGTATCTGTCCTGCCTGGTACCCCACAGCCAGCAAGCCCCAAGGAAAATCTCCATAAGTTATAATACTGATTGGCCAATAACCTCAGGCTACTTATTAGCTCTTGTAGCTTATATTAACCCATAATTCTTATCTGTGTTAACCACATGCTCAGTCCCTTTTCCAGCAGGGCAGGTCATATCCTGCTTCTTTGGTGTCTGGACAGGACTTGGGGGAATGGGCTTCCTTCTTCCTAGAATACTCCTGTTCTCCTCGCCCCACCTCTACTTCCTGTCTGGTTGACCCGCCTATACTTCCTGCCTGGCCAATCAACATTTATTTAAAACATGATTGACAGAATACAGACAATTCTCCTGCACCATCATCTTTCCAGAATAAGCTCATGTAATAGAAGCTTGAGAGAAGAGTGGTATTTTTGGAAAGTTTTCTAGTGATGAAGTAGGGAACTGCTGTGGAAAATGCATATTTATAAGGTACTTGTGTTTGAGCATATACTTTGGGGCAGTTTTCCAAAAGTTTGAGTCTGGTGCAGTGGTGGTACACAGCTGTAATTTCAGCACTTGAGAGGTGGAGGCAGGAGGATCAGGAGTACAAGGCCATCCTTGGCTGCATAGTGAATTCTTGGTTAACTTGGCTGTATGAGCTCTTCTCCCAAAAAGCAAAACAAAAAACTCTAAAACAAGACCCACTCCACCAAGAAAAAAAAAGCTATTTGAGCATACTACACAGGATTAAATGGTGGGAGTAAGGTTTGTCCTTCTACCATGTGGATCCGTGGCCCTGCAGATTGAACTGAGGTCGTCAGGTTCAGCAGCAAGTGCCTTCAGCGTGTGCTTTTGTCTTGGATGTGTTTCTTGAGTCCAGACGAGTCTGTACAAACTCCACTTAGATATTGTCTTGTTAGTGATAGGAATGAGTGTCATTCATTTAGCCAGTGCATGTTTGTGCATAGTAATTAAGTTTCTGCACAGTACCTGTACCCTTTGTACCTTATAATTGGTTAAGAATTTGAGTAGCAATGTTAGTAGTGGTAACCACTTCTGCTTTTGGGGGTACCTGAAATGCAGTTTTTAATATTCTTGTGATTTCTTTTTTTGGATATGTTTTTCCTTTTTAACAAGTATGTGCTGGATTCATCTATACTTGAAGCATAAGAAAAGAAAATCTCAGCTATATTACTCTTACTAATCCAGACAACCAAGCTTTTGATTTTAGCTTGGATAAAAGGTTTTTGCTTTTATTTATTTATTTTTTCTATAAAGACAGGTCTTGCTTTAGTTCAGGTTGTCTTGGAACCCACTGTGTAGACCAGGCTGTTTTAAACTCATGGCTCTGCCTCTGGAGTGCTGTGATTATAGGCACTTCCACCATTGCTGTTGTCTGAGTTTCTGTCCTGCCGGTTCACACATTCGTTAAGTCCCAAAGAAAATCACACAGAGGTCTACATTAGTTATAAACTGATTGGCCCATTAGCTCAGGCTTCCTATTGACTCTTATAACGTATATTAGCCCATTTTTCTAGTATATGTTAGCCACATGGCTCAGTACCTTTTTCAGCAGGGCAGGTCACATCTTCCTTCTTCTGTGTCTTGAGTAAGACTGCAGAGGAATGGGCTTCTTCTCAGAATTCTCCTGTTCTCACTGACCTGCCACTACTTCCTGTCTGGATGTCCCGCCTATATTTCCTGCCTGGCTACCGACCAATCAGCATTTATTTAAAATATAATTGACAGAATATAGATAATTGTTCCACACCACATTGCTTGACAAATTTCTCATTTTATTTTATTTATTTTAAATTTCATTTTACATTCCAACCACAGTATTCCCTCTTACCTCTCCTCCTCTCCATCTCGCCTTCCCCCAGCCCACCCCCCCATTCACTCCTCCCAAAGGGTAAGGCTTCCCATGGGGAGTCTACAAATCTTGCACATTAAGTTGAGCCAGGACCAAGCCCCTCTATCGTGTTAAGGCTGAGCATAAAGTCCTACCATATGGAATAGTCTCCAAAAAGCTAGTTCATGCACCAAGGATAGGTCCTGATTTGATCCCACTGCCAGGACCCCTTGGGTAGACCAAATTCCACAACTGTCTCCCACATGCAGAGGGCCTAATTTGGTCCCATGGAGGCTCTACAACTGTTGGTGTAGAGTTCATGAGTTCCTACAAGCTTGGTTCGGCTGTCTGTAGACTTTTCCTTCATGATCTTGACCTCCCATGCTCATATATTCTCTCCTCCCTCTCTTCGACTGGGTGCCCGTAGCCTAGTGCTTGGTTGTGGATGTCTGCACCTGGTTTCATCAGTTACTGGATGAGGGCTCTGTGATGACTGTTAGGGTAGGCACCAATCTGTTTACAGGGAAAAGCCAGTTCAGGCACCCTCTCCCCTATTGAATTTCAGCATCTAATGAGATGATCATGTGTTATTTTCTTTCATTTTGTTTATTTGGTGGGTCACAGATTTCTTTTTTCTTTTTCTTTTTTTGGTTTTTCGAGACAGGGTTTCTCTGTAACTTTGGAGCCTGTCCTGGAACTAGCTCTTGTAGACCAGGCTGGTCTCGAACTCACAGAGATCCGCCTGCCTCTGCCTCCCGAGTGCTGGGATTAAAGGCGTGTGCCACCATCGCCCGGCTTGGGTCACAGATTTCTGTATGGTGAACAAACCTTGCATCTCTGGGATGAAGCCTACTTGGTCATGGTGGATATTTTTTTTGTGTGTGTTTTTGGATTCAGTTTGCCAGTATTGAGTATTTTTGCATCAATGTTCATGAGGGAGATTGGTCTGTAGTTCTCTTTCTCTGTTGAGTCTTTGTATGGTTTGGGTATCAGGGTAACTGTAGCCTCAAAAAAGTAGTTTGGCTATGTCCCTTCTGTTCCTATTTTGTGGAACAATTTGAGGAGTATTGGTATTAGCTCTTCTTTGAAATTCTGGCAGAATTCTGTGCTGAAGCCATCTAGTCCTGTGCTATTTTTGGTTGGAAGACTTTTAATGACTACTTCTATTTCCTTAGGGGTTATAGGTCTATTTAAATTGTTTGTCTGTTCTTGATTTAGTTTTGGCATGTGGTGCTTATCCAGAAAACTGTCCATTTCCTTTAAATTTTCCAATTTTGTGGAGTATAGGTTTTTGAAGTATAACATGACGATTCTCTGAATTTCCTCAGTTTCTGTTATGTCCTTCTTTTCGTTTCTGATTTTGCTTAAGCCCTGGTGATCTGATAAGATACAGGGATTTATTCCAATTTATGTGTGTGTGTGTGTGTGTGTGTGTGTCTGTTGAGATTTATGACTGAATTTGTGGTCGGTTTTAGAGAAGGTTCCATGAGGTGCTGAGATGAAGGTATATTCTTTTGTGTTTCAGTAAAATGTTCTATAGATGTCTGTTAAGTCCATTCGGGTCATAACATCTGTTGGTTCCGTTATTTCTCTGTTAATTTGCTGTCTGACAGACCTTTTCAGTGAGAGTAGAGTATTGCAGACCTGAGGAGCCATACATGCCTTTGAGGTTTTTTTAATTATTGATTTAATGTGTTCAAGTGTTTTGTCTGTAAATATTTCTGTCTACCATGTGTATATCTGCTGAGACCAGGAGAGGACATCAGATCCACTGCAGCTGGAGATATAGATTGTTTTGAGCCACCATGTGGGTGCTGGGAACCACACCTGGATCTTTTGTAAGAGCAACCCGTGCTCTTGACCACTGGTCTTTGATAGCCTATAGATGGTTCATGTTCAGAAATAAAAAAAGTTGAGAGTAATTCTACCTTATGCATATTAACTGAGAAGAATCACAGTTCTTTCATATCCCATGGGTACTTGTACTCTTTGCACTGATTTTAATCTCAGTGGAACTTTTTACCTTTAAAAAATAGATGCAATATTAAAAAATGTAGTACAAAAAATAAAATCTAACAGGTTACAAAATGTCCGCTTTGCGATAGACTGCAACATTATGTTTTCCTTGTCGCTTTCTCTTTAGAAGCGTAAAAGAAGTCTGGCTTTCAATCAAGGTGAATTGGATGCCATGGAACATCATACAAAGGTAGGTAGAAAATATTTATTGATAGGCCAACCTGTCGACAAGAGCTAGTTCCAGGACAGCTAGGACTGTTACACAGAGAAACTCTGTCTCAGAAAACAAAAACTCCCTCTCTCTCTCTCTCTCTCTCTATATATATATATATATATATATATATATATGGAAAATTAGTATGAAGTAGCATAAAAATGAACAAAATATAAAATATATCTTAGAAATAAAGCAATTGTTTTGGTCAGAATTCGAATTTAAGTGGTTCATTTTTTCTCAGTAATGAACAATTTAAGCCAATTTTTATAACACTACATATGCTTCTATTAGTTTAGGTAGTTGGTGAATTAATCTGTGTTATTGATTAGGTTCTTCGAGAATGTCGCAGTGTTTTTACTCTTGCATGGTTTCTCTCATGTGTTAAATTTAGGTTCAACAAAAAACGGTTGAACATAGACTGTTACTTGACCATATATATATATATATATATATATATATATATATATATGTGAATGATATGAAAACAGAATCATTGGAGGATAGACAGGGGAGCAGTGATGGGTGGAAGGATGGGGAGAGTAGAATGAGGCGTTCTTATGTATGAAATCAGTTTGATAATGTACTTTTGCAGAGGTAAATTTGCCAAAAATGCATAGAATGAATTAGAACCTTTAAAAAGTCTGTACAATTTGTATTTTAAGTATTGCAAGTGATGTAAAGATGAAATATATAACACAGAGAATTATGAATAGAGGGAAATACCCTCTACATCTCTGAAAACAGCAAGAAACCTGCCCACAGGTTCAACATGGGAATAAGAATACTACAGCTCTAGATGATGACTGCTGCCTGGAGGGAGGCTCCAGAGGGCCAGCTCCACGAACATAGCTTGATGTCGCGTATTATGATGAATTGCTGATTTTAGACTTAATTGTTTTAGTTAGCCTATAATGTGATGAGGTTCATCATGACATTTTCATACATATACATATACACACACACACACACACACACACACACACACACACACACACATATATATATATCATTGTACTTTGCTCATATTCTACCCCCTCATTACTTTTCTCCCTCTTTTTAACCCTTCTTGGTAGTTCCTTCTTCCCTCCAAGTAGACCCCTTCTTCCTTCATGATGCATATATACACACAGGCTTAAATAGTGATATAAATGCATAGATCATCAAGTCTACATTCTGCATGAGAGAAAACATGCATTTTTTTTGTTCTCCTTCCCCTTAATTATCTTGGTTTGAACATTTGGTAGATATTATCATATCACTACTGTAGAAGTCATGGAGTAGTTAGATTATACATTGAATCGTTTTTTCCCCCAGAAACTGCCATCCTGGTTTTCATAGCCGCTGCACAATTTTTGTATTTCCACCAACATTGCATACCAGTTTTTCTACTTTTTCATCAAAACATTTTGTTTTATTTTGTAATTGCCATCCTAATGGGTATGAAATGAAATCACGTTATGAGTCTAGGTATCTTGATATTTTATATTTTTACTTCCATTGTGAGAATAACATTTTCTAATCTCTCTTGTAATTTCATCTTTGACCTGCATGAATTATTCAGAAGAGAACTATTTCATTTGCATTTGGTTGATTTTATTTTATTTATTTATTTTTTTTAGTTTTTCGAGACAGGGTTTCTCTGTGGTTTTGGAGCCTGTCCTGGAACTAGCTCTGTAGACCAGGCTGGTCTCAAACTCACAGAGATCCGCCTGCCTCTGCCTCCCTAGTGCTGGGATTAAAGGCGTGAGCCACCACCGCCGGGCTCTTGGTTGATTTTAGTATCAATTTGTTCTTGATTTCTAACTTAAATCCTTTGGGTAGAAAAATAAATTCTGGTTCCTTTAAGTTTGTAGGGTTTTGTTTCATTGCCCAGCATATACATTATCTTTGAGATTATAATGTGGGGTTGAAGATTATGTTCTGTAACTGTTATGGTGCTCCTAGGTGTAACATTGAGAACGTCACTGTCTGCAGAATTTGTGTTACTTGTTTTACCCTTTCTGTTGGGTTTTCAAAGATGGGTTTAGAGCAGTGTCTAAGTGTCTAAGGTCAGTATTTCCCCTGTACTGAAGATGTGATTACCCAACACTCTGTGAGGACGGTGAAGACCTAGATTTAGGAAGTGTATAAGTTAGCCTGCCATGAAGTTTCATAGATGTTGCAGAAGACGTGGAATGTCTGGACCAGGACAAAGGACTCTGGTTCCTGCCACAAGGAAAAACATACACTTTTTGTTGACAGGTGCCCTTTGTCCCCATGTCCTACATGAACATTGTGAGGTTTTTCTCTGCAGAGCCTAAGTGAGCATAAGCAGTGGTTATTTTTCTCATCACCACAGCCAGGTATCTAAGAGAAACAACCTAAGCAAGGAAAAGTTAGTTTTGGCTCAAAGCTTCAGCATTTTGTATACATATCTTGTCACATTACGTCATAGGGGGTTTATGAGGTATGTTTAATTCCATAGAGTTCAAAAGTAGTCAACACTCTTATAGTCCCATTATACTCTAAAATAACTCTGAGCTTAATAAGAGTAGATTTTAATAAATGAAATAAGATATTCAAAGCACAGCACAAATTTAATTATTTGGAAATTTAATTGTAATCTAATTTTACTTTATGTGTGTGGATGTTTCGCCTGCATGCATGTCTGTGTATCATATGTTACCTGGGTGCCCTCTGAGGCCAGAAGAGGGTGATAGAGCTCCTGGAACTGGATTGACAGCTGATTGTGAGCGACTGCGTAGGAGTTGAGAACTGAACCCAGATTCTCTTTAAGAACAGCTAGTGCTCTTAATTGCTGAGCCATCTTTCCAGCCCCTGGAAAATAATTTTAAACCAGCATTATTTTAATGTACTTTAAACAATTTTTTCCCCCATAGATCAGAGAGCTGGTTTTGGGTGGATCCTCGCAGTTAATCCAAGAAGGTCTCAAAAGTGGTGTTCTCTGCCCCATTGTTGAAACCCAGCATGGAAATAGTGGCCGCGTCCCATTACCACTCGATGCTTGCAACTTGTCAGAATTATGTGAAATGGCAAAGCACTTGCCTTCCCTTGAAGACATGCATCTTCAGACGCTCCCGTTGGCAGAAGATGATATGTCTGTTATAGAGCTGGATTTATCATCACAGGTCATTGAAAACAACGCAAACTTTTCCAGAATGATTAATTTAATGGGTCAGAAGTACCTGCTACCACCAAACAGCAGCTTTCTCTTGTCTGACATTTCTTGTATGCAGCCACTTCTGAACTGTAAGTAGTTTTATGTTTGTTTCAGAAAAAGATAATTTTTCTGTCATCTCAGAGGAGTTTGAACTTGGAATGTAAGTTCAGATATCAAATGCTGACTTTGCTCTGTTGTTTATTTCTGAGACAGTCTTGTTAAGTAGCCCAGGCTGGCATTGAACTTGCTGTGCAACCCAGGATGGCCCTGATATCTCAATTGTGCTCGACTTTGTCTTAGTTTCCTGGATGCTTAGATTCTAGGTCTGCATCACCATACCTACCTCCTGCTTTCTAAAAATAAATGCATTTTATGACAAGTAAAGGGTTAAAGAACTGGCATTTGAGAAAGCAAATATAATACTTAATGTGCTCAGGAATTCAGAACACACTTGTGTTTGAGAATTTATCTATCAAAATGAAAATATTTTAGTTGTGAATATTAATTCCCAGGTGTTTCCTAGCCTTTAAGTTTTTTTCACTTCTTACCTTTTATGTTACTTTTAAACTTTTAACGTCATTCTTTTAAGAAAAAGAAATGTTGAGTACAAACATCGTGCAAAAGCACATAGTTTCCTACGGGGAGATGGGTTAACTCATCTGTGTTGGAGACAATCAAGTCCTTTCCTACGGGGAGATGGGTTAACTCATCTGTGTTGGAGACAATCAAGTACTTTCCTACGGGGAGATGGGTTAACTCATCTGTGTTTGAGACAATCAAGTCCTTTCCTACGGGGAGATGGGTTAACTTATCTGTGTTGAAGACAATCAAGTACTTTCCTACGGGGAGATGGGTTAACTCATCTGTGTTGGAGACAATCAAGTACTTTCCTATGGGGAGATGGGTTAACTCATCTGTGTTGGAGACAATCAAGTCCTTTCCTACGGGGAGATGGGTTAACTCATCTGTGTTTGAGACAATCAAGTCCTTTCCTATGGGGAGATGGGTTAACTCATCTGTGTTGGAGACAATCAAGTCCTTTCCTCCTGGGAGATGGGTTAACTCATCTGTGTTTGAGACAATCAAGTACTTTCCTACGGGGAGATGGGTTAACTCATCTGTGTTTGAGACAATCAAGTACTTTCCTACAGGGAGATGGGTTAACTCATCTGTGTTTGAGACAATCAAGTACTTTCCTATGGGGAGATGGGTTAACTCATCTGTGTTGGAGACAATTAAGTCCTTTCCTCCTGGGAGATGGGTTAACTCATCTGTGTTTGAGACAATCAAGTACTTTTGCAGCAATGCCCAGTTGTTTTCCATAGAGTTTGTTATTGTTGTTGTTGTTTTTTTAAATATCCCTGGGGCTGGTGAGATGGCTCAGTGGTTAAGAGCACTGCCTGCTCTTCCAAACAACTGGGTTAAATCCCCAGGACCCACAACTATAATTCTAATTTTAGGAGGTCTTATGCCCTCTTCTGGCATTGGTGGACATCAGACATACATGTGGTATACAGACATACATGTAGGCAAAACACTTTACACATAAAATAAAAACAATAAAGATCTTTTTTTTGTTTTAAAAAAAAAGACAAAAACTATTCCTATGCAGTTTTGTCATGACTGAAATTCCTTAAAATTCTTTTCAACCACTGTGGATTTACACTCATCTTAGTTTCAAGATGCCTTAAGAAATATAAAATTTGCGGGACAGTAGTGGTGCACTCCTTTAATCCCAGCACTTAGGAGGCAGAGGCAGGGGGATCTCTGTGAGTTTGAGAAGGGTCTATAGAAGAAATACAAAATCACTTTAGCTAAGAAAGTTGAATTGGAAGTATTATCTCTGACCAAGATCTCCCATATTTTGTCATTACAAGGCCAATTAGTAAGACTATTATAATAGCTATGGTTTATGCATTAACTATTCCTGGATTCTTTTTACAGAAGACTGCAGTGAGAAAGGATTAATGTTCTATAGGTGCTAAAAAGAAACCACAAAAACAACAAGTTTTCAGATACTAGTCCTTCTAAAGTCATTCCTTATCAAACTTCTTGAAACATTTTTTTTGTATAAAGTTTAAAAAGTAGAAGTCTACAGTCACCAGGCTGGTAGTCATAGACACACAAAAACCTAACATGCTTGCTTTCTATGCCTACTTCTGAAGGCCACTGAGGATTAAGTGAGGTTAAAAACAACTACTTCCTTATTTTATTTATTGTATTATGTATAGTTGGAATTTTCCTTGGGCCACCAAGCAACTCCCAAATAATTTATTATGAATGCTTATTATTAATTATAAGTGCTTAGTCTTAGCTTAGGCTCGTCCCACCAGCTCTTTTAACTTAATTGAACCTGTTTCTATTCATCTACATTTTCCCTTGGGGCTTCTTACCTTTCTTCCATTCTGTGTGTCCTGCTTTCCTGCTTCCTCTGTGTGTGTCTGGCTGGCCACTGGTTTCTCCCTGGTATCTCTTTTTCTTTCTTCCTTTCTAAGCCTAAATTCCTCCTCCTACTTAGTCTCCCTGCCTGCAAGTCCTGCCTATACTTCTTCCTCACTATTGGCCATTTAGCTTTTTGTTAGACTAATCAAGTAAAACAGCAACACATTTTTACATATAATTAAACAAATGCAACAATCTTTACATAGTTAAACAAATATTTTGCAACAATTAAACATCATTTCTCCTTTTACTTTTTTTCTTCAAACCCTCTCATATATGCCTCTTTGTTCCCTTTCAAATTGATGGATTTTTCATTAATTTTGTTACATGCATATATGTATGTAATCTGCTCAGTCTGTATGATACTTGTCTGTATGCTTTCAGGGTTATAATTAGGTTCAAGGGAGATAAATACACAGGGAAAAAGGAGAGCAAAATAATAGTATGAATATGTGAAAAAATCCTAAGGAATCATACTGTTAACTACCTAAGAAACTATAACACACACATACTTTAACTTAGTATAATGTTATTTGTATGTATGTTTTCAGGGCTCACCGTTTGGTATTGGATAAGCAATCGGTGTACTCTTCCCTCAGTAAGACTAAAACTATTTCTCCACTCCTGGCATTTGTGAGTTCCCTATAGTTCTTTGTGTAGGGCTGGTTGGCCCCTTGTCCACTATAGCATTGCCTGTTGTCCTTCTCCAGCTCATATTTAAGCAGTCATGTTAATGAGATTTTGTGGGTGTAGCTTCTGACATTCCTAGGAGATACAATGTCACAGCAAACTCCATGATCCTCTGGCTCTTATAATCTGTGTCTCCTCCTTTACAATGTTTCCTGAGCATTACGTGTAGTGATATTTCATTAGTATTTTAATAAAGAAAGCTTAGCTGAAGATCAGAGAGTAAGTGGTAGCACACACCTTTAATCTCAGTAGCCACTCTAGTTTGTCATAGAAACGCCTTTAATCCCAGTGGTCTGCACTCCCAGCAGCAGTGGATGAGAGTCCCCCGTACTCTATGTCCTTGCCAGCAGGAGCTGTCACTTGTGTTATTGATGCTAGGGATTCTGACATTGATGCTAATGGACTCTCAAAGCAGACTTGGTTTGCATTTCACTAATGACTGAGAATGTTGAACATTTAAGTGTTTCTCAGCCATTTAAGATTCCCCTATTGAGAATTCTCTGTTTAGCTCTATACCCCATTTTTTAATTGAGTCATTTGTTTACTTGATATCTAGTCTTTTGAGTTCTTTATACATTTTGTTTGAGTTTTATATATAATTTTGGATATTAGCCCTCTATTAGATGTGTAGTTGATAAAAAAAATATTTTACCATTCTGTAAGCTGCCACTTTGTCTGAATGATGGGATCTTTTGCCATGCAGAAGCTTTTCAGTTTCATGAGATTCCATTTATTAATTGTTGATCTTAGTGTCTGTGTTAATAGTGTTCTGTTTAGAAAGTCTTTTCCCATGCCATTGAGTTCAGGGCTGTTCCCTACTTTTTCTTCTGTTAGGTTCAAGATATCTGTTTTTAGGTTGAGATCTGTGTGAGAATTCCTTTCCACTAAAATATTTTTTTGAGGGGAGGGGGTCTCAGCATTAGGGTGGCTTCTGTGTCCCAACATGATCTCTTATAAGGGAGAGGAACAGTCTCTTACTCTCTTGTATGGTGGTTGGAGATCTGGTTGCAGCTTCCATTGCTTCCAGGGCAGAGGACAGTGGTGACTCTTCACCTTATTGTTACTCATGAGTGTTCCCCAATAAATATTTGATATTCTTTTATTTTGGGCTCTCATGGACTCACCCTTGCCTACACCTGGGGCCCAGTGTGGGGCATAAACCCACATCCCTGAGAGTAAGAGTCTCATGCTCTACTTGACTGAGCTCTTTGATCAGTTTGGAGTTGAATTTTGTGCAGGGTGATAAGTATGGATTTATTTGGAATTCTCTACATATAATCATCCAGTTTAACCACCACTATTTGATGATGATCCTGTCTCTCCCCCCATGTATTTCTGGTTTCTTTATCAAAGATCAGGTGTGCATAGGTATGTGAATTTATGTCTGGATCCTCAATTTGATTCCACTTATCAACATGTTTGTGTTTATTTCAGTTCCTTGCTGTTTTATTGCTATAGCTCTGTAGTGCAGTTTTAAATAAGGGATGGTGATACATCCAGCAGTTTTACCACCCAGGATTATTTTAACTAACCTATTTTTTGTATGTGTATTTTGTATGTGTTTTCATATGAAGCTGAAAATTATCCTTTCAAGATCCATGAAGAAATGTGTTGAAATTGTGCTGGGGAGTGCATTGCATCTGTGGATTGCTCCTGACAGGATGGGCCTTTTTACTATGTTATTCTTACTGATCCATGAGCATGGCAGATCTTTCCATCTTCTGATACATTCATTCACCATTTTATTTCTTTAGTGTCTTAAAGGTTTTGTTTCGGTTTGGTTTTTCGAGACAGGGTTTCTCAGTCACTATGGAGCCAGTCCTGGAATTCACTCTGTCGACAGGCTGGCCTAGAACTCACAGAGATCCGCCTGCCTCTGCCTCCCAAGTGCTGGGATTAAAGGCGTGCGCCACCACCGCCTGACAGTGTTTTAAAATTTTTATCGTACAAGTCTTTC